GAATTAGCTGTCCAGTGATGACAATGAAGGTGATGAAGATGAGATGAAACCAGGTGCTTTGGCTTCATCCTTCATAATAAAAGTACGAGAAGACGTCCTTTTCCAGAACAGGCCCGTTTAATCCATGTTAAAAACTTGTTCAGACCTGTAGACCCCCTTGGCGATCAGGTCTTTGAACGTTGTGTTAAACTCCTCAGCTCCTGCTGTATCAGCAGACGCACCCTCTCCGTGCAGAGAAACACTTTTGAATACAAATGGCTTTTGAAATTTGTCGAACCATCCCTTGCTGGCACTAAAAGCAGTGGTTCGGTGGTTGAACCAGGTGCTCGAAGATCCAGCTTCAGGTTCGTCCCCACCCCTCCTCATTTAAATTGCCATGTCTGCAGCAAGACAATCATAAAGTAGTTTCACCTTTGTCCAGATGGTGTTGGTATCCAAAGTGATGTTTTTATTCTGCAATCATTAATCTGCATGACCAGTGCAGCTTCCATCTTAACAACTGTGCTGTAAAGGTGGAAAACATCCTCATAGGTACAGCCATCTTTAAGTTTGCCCAGAAGTTCCACTTTTGCTTTAATCCTCAGCATCTTCCACTGGCGTTTCGGATCGCCAACAGAAACTTTTGAATGCACAGAAAGTTTGGAACCGTCCAGTTGAAAAAGAGTGCAGGTAAACAGATGGTAACAGCCAATCAGCGCCCGGGTCACGTAGCACAACACTCAGTTTGCTCAAAGAGACATGTCCTCACAAGATTTACACTTTCTTGAGAATCATGTTTGTAAAGTTGAATTTTCGTAAAAACATACTTTTCCATATGACAAATTAAATTTTACGTTTGAAAGGCCAGTTCAGCAGTCATGACTTGGCTTTGCAAAAGTACTGCTGGGCAGAAAACAGTGGGCGGAGCCTCTACAGTTACAGCACAGCGTTAACTGAAGGGCAAAGTCATGAGGTCCTTATATGAGTGGCGATCGCAGCGGAGCCTGAATGAAAGCAAACTACAAAATGGCGACGCCTGTCCAAATTATTTTTTATTTGTCATTAACTTTTTCACAACCACATGAGTACAGTGATATTACCGTACAGGCCGCAATCATGTGTCTTGTATAGTTTATTTATTTTTTGGTCCAACATTATGGATTGTATGTCCACAAACCGCGATAGTGAGTCCGTAGAATTTGAACCGTGAAATAGCGAGGGACTACTGTGCAAACAAATTGACTAACCAGTCATGTTGACTAACCATTCATGTTGACTAACCGTCATGTTGACTAACCGTCATGTTGACTAACCAGTCATGTTTACTAACCGTCATGTTGACTAACCAGTCATGTTGACTAACAGTCATGTTGACTAACCAGTGTTGACTAACCAGTCATGTTGACTAACCAGTCATGTTGACTAACCGTCATGTTGACTAACCAGTCATGTTGACTAACCGTTATGTTGACTAACCCGTCATGTTGACTAACCAGTCATGTTGACTAACCTGTGTTGACTAACCGTCATGTTGACTAACCAGTCATGTTGACTAACCAGTCATGTTGACTAACCGTCATGTTGACTAACCAGTCATGTTGACTAACCGTCATGTTGACTAACTGTCATGTTGACTAACCAGTCATGTTGACTAACAGTCATGTTGACTAACCAGTGTTGACTAACCAGTCATGTTGACTAACCAGTCATGTTGACTAACCGTCATGTTGACTAACCAGTCATGTTGACTAACCGTTATGTTGACTAACCCGTCATGTTGACTAACCAGTCATGTTGACTAACGTGTGTTGACTAACCAGTCATGTTGACTAACCGTCATGTTAACTAACCGGTCATGTTGACTAACCGGTCATGTTGACTAATCGGTCATGTTGACTAACCGGTCATGTTGACTAACCGGTCATGTTGACTAACCGTCATGTTGACTAACCCGTCATGTTGACTAACCGGTCATGTTGACTAACCGTCATGTTGACTATCCGGTCATGTTGACTAACCGGTCATGTTGACTAACCGTCATGTTGACTAACCGGTCATGTTGACTAACCGGTCATGTTGACTAACCGTCATGTTGACTAACCGGTTATGTTGACTAACCGTCATGTTGACTAACCGGTCATGATGACTAACCGTCATGTTGACTAACCGGTCATGTTGACTAACCCGTCATGTTGACTAACCGTCATGTTGACTAACCGGTCATGTTGACTAACCGTCATGTTGACTAACCAGTGTTGACTAACCGTCATGCTGACTAACCAGTCATGTTGACTAACCGGTCATGTTGACTAACCGTCATGTTGACTAACCGGTCATGTTGACTAACCGGTCATGTTGACTAACAGTCATGTTGACTAACCGGTCATGTTGACTAACCGTCATGTTGACTAACCGGTCATGTTGACTAACCCGTCATGTTGACTAACCGTCATGTTGACTAACCGGTCATGTTGACTAACCGTCATGTTGACTAACCAGTGTTGACTAACCGTCATGTTGACTAACCGGTCATGTTGACTAACCGTCATGTTGACTAACCAGTCATGTTGACTAACAGTCATGTTGACTAACCAGTGTTGACTAACCAGTCATGTTGACTAACCGTCATGTTGACTAACCAGTCATGTTGACTAACAGTCATGTTGACTAACCAGTGTTGACTAACCAGTCATGTTGACTAACCGGTCATGTTGACTAACCGTTATGTTGACTAACCAGTCATGTTGACTAACCGTCATGTTGACTAACTGTCATGTTGACTAACCGGTCATGTTGACTAACCGGTCATGTTGACTAACCGTCATGTTGACTAACCAGTCATGTTGACTAACCGGTCATGTTGACTAACCGTCATGTTGACTAACCGTCATGTTCTGGTCGGGAAACGAATGGGGATCCTGTCCAAAGTAAAGATATTATTAAAGACCTTCATAAATCCTGAAGAACCACTGATCCAGATCAGTTTCAAACACCACAAGGAGGCCAAACTCTTTAGAATCTAAGTTTGACTAAATGAGGGACAACTCAAAACTTTTGCACATCACTGTACAAAATGAATTTTGCAAATGACCTTGTGGTTGGTAGCACAATATCGCTATTTAAAAATCCCCTTCTCATCAGGGGTAAAATTGTCTTTAGTGCAAAATGTGCCCGTCTGTGCGCAGAGTCATTGTTCGTCATCAAGCCTGCCTGCGATGATAATCACATTATTCTTCACATTAGCTTTGCTTATTTCATTATGACCTGCCTGACAGCTACATCAGCACACTGTAATGTGATTGTGCATCATTCTTTATCAACTTTAAGTCACCTGGCATGGTGAAAACAGTCTGCACATGCTACTGTGAATTTTATTAAAGCGTAATATTTAGGATTAACACGATTATGAATGTTTTTTTAACTAATCCAGACAGTTTGCAGCTTTTAAAAACTGCTTTTAAAGTCTTCAGCAAGTAGCTGAAGACTGGCTTTAGCTGACGTGAAAGGCTGCTGCACTTGAACTAAACACTTGGGCTGCCAACATGCAACTTTGAAATACGCCATTGGTTTCTACACACTGTAGTCATACACCAGATTACCTTAATAATTCTGCTCTGTGAGAAAAATTATTGAAGCATAGGAAAATGTCTAAAGAGATCTCATGGCAGTTTGTTCATTGTGTGTTTGTGCGTGAGGAGCTCCAGAAACAAGGTCTTGTCAGAACGTGTCTGTGCAGAGGTGTTGAAGCCCTCTGGTTGATGTGTGCACCTATAATCTATAACCCAGGCAGAGTTGCTGTTCCTCCTCTCTGGAGCTGCATTTGAAGTTTGCTTTTTTTCCTGCAGCAGCATGGCAGGTTTTATCTGAATTTGTAAGAAGCAGCAGCTGTGGCAGGCCTTGTTGATTTCCCTCCTGGATGCCGCCTTTTGGATGTTCAGCACAAACCAATTCCAACATACAATGTTCACTCCGCTGTCCCTGTGACCTTGCTGGAGTCGTGGCAGCCAAACGTTAAGCTTGTGTTGGACAAACCAGCTGTGTTTGTTGAACAAGTGCAGCTGGGTTTTCTTTTTAGGAGGGCAAGTGAATGAAGACTGAAGCCTGCCTTGAAAGAGAATTACTGTCACGTGTTTGAACAGCACTGACATGGGTTTAGGCTTTTTCCATCGTTTGCTTTAGCTGAAGTCCATAAAGCTGATGTAAGTTAAAACAATCCATTTTATATCTAAATACATTTTTATTTCATGTGATCCACACTTGAAAAGATTATAACATGATTCAGATTCATGTTTAGTGTAACACGGTGACATCCTTGAGCTGCGTTAAGAGGAAGAAACAAAAGATGTTAGGCTGTATCCTGAGTTGTTGCCTTGCAATAAACGGTCCATTCATTCATTCAACCTTTATTCATACCGATAAATCACACTGAGCCTCGAAGAATCATTTACAAGTGAGACCTGTTTAATCTGAACTGTTGTCACTTTGCAGCTTGGCCTTAACTCAGTCACTTCCACCAAATCACGTTCTGTCTGCAGGTATTTCTGAAGTTTTTAAACTGGAGACCAACGAGAACCTGAGGCTGACACTGGACTCCATGCAGATGCCCACAGTGGAGTACAAGGAGATCAATATGGACGACTACAGTATGTGCTAGGCTGCATGAAAAGAAAATGAAATTATCACTACACTAGTCCCTCTCTTATCGTGGGGGTTATATTCCAGACACCACCTTGATAGGTTAACATTCGCAAAGAAGGGACATTATATTTATTTTAGTATTTATATGTATTTTAAGGATTTATAAACCCTTCCCACACTCTTGCAATGTTCTAAACCCTTAAACCTACATATATGTACTGTACAGTACTGCAAAAAATGTATCACCAGAGAGGATACTACTACAACTTGAAGGATGAGTTCAGCTCGAGGATTATTTGTGACTTTTCTGACAGTTCTGTGAGCTTCATGGATAGATTGTTCCTTCTGACGTTGCACTGCAAAACTATTTTTACCACATCAGTTTCTCTTCTCGTGTTTGCTCCCTCCATTGCTGTTCTTTGAATTTCAGCAGAAAGCTGTTGGCTTCTGGGCTGTGTAGTTCTTTTTGACTTGCGTTACAGTGTAGGCTTATTGAAAGAAAACTACAAAATGCCGGAACATGTCCACATTTTTTTGTTGTTTTGTACTTTTGTCCTATTGTTGGTTCCTGCTCCTGTTAACATTTATCTGGTACCGTCCCAATCAAGTGAATAATATTAATGTTCACTCCTTGGGAGTCCAATGAGAGCGTACAATTAATTTTATAAAAGTACAATTAGCTGTCATTTCAAACCGTGCCCAAAGCCTGGCCCGGCCTGGCCCAATAATGTGCTGGATGGCGGGCCGGGTCGGTGTCGGGCTTCTGATTGTGTCAGCGGACATGCGTGGCTGGTGATCCAATCATATGGCAACATGGCTTGTCATACAATCACCAGCCGCATGCTGCCATTTCACCGCGAGCTGACCGGCCTTGAAAGAGGTAAAATAAAGTTTAGTTAAGCTTCAGATGGGAGTATACTGCCAGGAAGAGATCCATCGCCCAAATGAACGTTCATTCGGCCGCTGCACTCAGTGGACATGTGTGGCCGATGACCCAAACAGGTGACATCACAAAATATCTGACATGTCAGAGCACGGTCTGTGTCTGAATAATGCAGAATGCAGGCAGACGGCCATGAAAGGACAAACACCCCCTCAGTTCCAATCTTCTGCCCCTTTTATTCAGCCTGGAGTTGCACTCGGGTCCAAATAATCCGAACCGACTTGGCCCCGGCCCACAGCCATCATCTCCGAACCTCACCCAATCTGACGAATTAACAGTAATTACAGGTCCGAACCTGAAAAAAACCTTTTAATTGAGCTTTGACTGCTAAATACCACCGACTATTATTAACAGTTGGTGGACGCTTGCAGCTGTGGAGGCAGAAGATCTGAGCTGAGGAGCCGTCAAAGCGCATTAATGCTTCCCCTGCTTCTGCCTGCACTGGACCCTAATCTGACATGTTGGATATTTTGTGATCTCACCTGTTTGGGTCGTCGGCTGCTTGCGTCCGCTGAGTGCAGCAGCAAAATGAATGTCCATCTGGGCTGATGGATCGCTGGCAGTAGTCCATCTGAAGCTTCACGGAACTTTTTACCTCTTTCAACCAGCCGGTCAGCGCACAGTCAAATGGCCGTGTGCAGCAAGTGTGGTATGGCAAGCCATGTTTGCATATATTGGATTGTTGGCCGCATGTGTCCCTGATGCAATAAAAAGTCTGACACCGACCCGGCCCACACATTAAGCACATTATTACGGCCTGGCCCGGTCCGAATGGGTCGGGCGGGGCCGGTCTCTGAGTTCAGGTTAGAAATTACAGTCGGACCTGTAATTACTGTTAATTCATCGGGTCAGGGTGGGGGTTCAGAGATGATGGCTATGGGCTGGGGCCGGGTCGGAGTTTTTGGGCCCGAATGCAACTTAAGTACAATCTTATGTTGAAAACCCGCAAAACAGTGAGTCTGCGAAAATCGAACCGCGAAGTACTGAGAGACTACTCTATATCTAAACTATACTCTATATAGTTTACTCGGAGTTTATTCTGATATCTGATGTTGAGAAATATTACTGTTTGTTTGGCAGTGCCTGATTAAAGTTTATATACAAGTACATCACATTTATTTTATTGCTGTTTTTGGACAAATAATGTTAACATAAGATAAACAAACTCCACTAAGGGAAGTTTTTGAATTACATTGCATTATTATTTGAATTGTCATTTGGATGTTTTGTTTGTCTGTATTCCAGTCTTGTCCTTGCAGATCCTGAGACCTGCAGGCTTCATGGAGACGTCCCGCTACCCGCTGCTCCTGCTCATGTACGTATCTTCCCAGAAATAAAACATTGGTGTTTATTAACGTTGCTGATATTACACGAGCAAATGTTCATCCTGAGCAGTGTGCATATTAATCTACTTGTCCTGAAACCCAGACTGATAATTACAAAACAAAACAAGGAAGGTCCGTTCTAAGCCAGCAGGTTCTATTCAGCTAGAACGTGTCACTTGTTCAGCTCAAATCACCTTCTAGGAAATCAGTAGGGGAAAAAATTGTTTACATCATCTCACATATCTGAAAACTTTGGTGCATGTGTCAGCTGGCATTGCATTGAGTGCTTGTTTGTTGTGCAGCGATGGGACACCTGGTGGCCAAATGGTGTCTGAGCAGTTTGTTCTGGACTGGGATACCGTACTGGTGAGCAGTTTCGGTGCCATCGTGGTCCGTTGTGATGGGCGAGGCAGCGGCTTCCAAGGCACCAATGTTCTGCACCGGATCCAGAAGAGACTGGGCGAGGACCTGGATCAGAAGGATGCTCTCAAGTAGGAGCCTGTTTTTATTGTCTTTGAAAAATCCCACTGTCAGCTGTGTGGACAGCTCAACAAGAAAGAGACAAACTTGATTTGGATTTGAGGGCAGCAC